CTCTCTCTCTCTCTCTCTCTCTCTCCCCCCAAACTTTGGTTATTCAAAGCGAATACTCCCGAACAATCACATGCCTCCACGTATCCTACATTTCTGGTTCCTTCTGCCTAGGAAGCACTCCTTCCTTGCCATGTCCTCCTGACAGCTTCTTGCTGTTCCTTCAAGATCCAGCCACTTCCAAAGCTCTGGCCATGACCCTCCCTCACAGACTTCCATTTCCACGCTCCTCAACACTTTGAAGATTCAGACTGTTTTCATTTGTTTCATATGAAAGCAGCAGTGTGCTGTACTGTTTTTGTTGGAGACCAGGCTTCCGTTCAATGCCCACACTTCAGAGAGGGAGAAAGACGAACCACTGAGGTGTCAGGACTTAACAAACAGAAGTGGCAGGAAACTAAGGGCCTGAGCCAGAACACAGACCTCCAGGCTTTCAGCCACATTAAAACAAACAAACAAAAGCCACTTTGGAAGTTAACTGGCATCTATCGCTATAGTGTAACAGTCACATGGTTACATTGTTGCTTTGACATCCAAATCCCCCTCCCCTATGTTTCCTGAAGGAAGGGCCAACAGCCTCCTTTGGCATCCAGTGAGGCTGCAGGGTTCCTCTCCCTCTCTATCTTTCACAGTACGGAGTAAGGGGAGGGGGTTCACTGTCTAAAAGACTTGCTTAGGACCGGTTCCTGCTGGGTTGGTTTGTATTTCTGGAGGCATCAGCGCCCATCCGGACATGAGCGGATTTTAGGGTTGGAAGCAGCTGCAACTCCTGGGCGCTCAGAAGCAGCCTTGAGAGGCGGGCTTCACACACTCTCCTGCGTGACGGGCACAAACAGAAGGGGCTGTCGCTCCACTGAGCCTGCAAGACGGAGGGACGCTCTGTCACATCCTCCTTGTCCTTCTGCAACCAGAGGCCGCCGCGCAGTCCTCACCCAGCCAGCGCGCCGCAGGAAGCCCCTGGGGGCGGGGCTCCAGACCACGCCCCCAGCTCCGATTGGCTCCTTCGAAACAGGCGGCAGTGCTCGGCGGCGAACTGCGGCGGCGGCGGTTGGTCGCCGAAATGCTGGCACGCACAGATTGAGTCCGAGTGGCCCGGCAGGGACAAGGGACTTCGCTCCCGGGCTGGTGAGTGACTTCCCTGTTGGATGGCCCTTTTCCTCCCCAGGTGTCTCGCGGCCTCGCTGCTGCTCCGCGGCTGGGCCTCCCGCCCCCTCGCCCATAATTCTAGAGTCCGGGATGAAGTTCAGGTGGGCTACAGAGCGGTGGGATCCCCAGGAGCTCTGCCATTGGCTGGCTGAGGCAGCCGCTTTCTGTGATTGGTTCCTGGAGCTGTCACCGAGACGTAAAACTCGCCTTCCTACACCTGCCCGAGGGGCTACTAGAGTGAGCTGGGCGGCGGGAGGGGCGCGAGGTGGAGCTGCGGCGACCTGTCCGTCTGTGCGTAGTGCAGGGTGGCCAGGGCACCCTCCTCCACATCAGTGTTCAGCCGGAGAGAGTCACTCGATTCCTCATCAGCGCCCTGGGAAAGAAGTGGTGAAATCACTGGTCAGACTAATACTCACTGTCACGCTGCTGCCCTGTCCCGTGGTAGGCACTGCAGGCTCTTCCCTATTTGTCCTCTGCAGGCTCGGTTCTCCCAGACTTAACGGAATTAGGGAACATTAGTGGCGCCCTTGCACAATGTCCCCCCCCCCCCCCCGC